GCTCCTGGCAGCTTGCCGCTCCCCCCGCGGTAGGCCGCGAGCAAGGTGCATGCGCATGGCTCAGCACTTTCCGCTTTGACGAGGGTCGCCAGCCGGGCCCCATGCCGGGCTGCCGGACGGGAGGGGGCCGCGGCGGGCCGAGCGGCGTAAATCGCGCGCAGTCTGCGTACCGTCAGCGTCACGCGTCACGCGCCATCTTCTTTTCCCTGCTCGCCACAACACCGCACACACCTGGCTGCCTTGCGTTGACACGCGGCCCGCCGGGAATGTTAGCGGCTCTACTTTTGTTTGCCTCTATTATTACTCGGATTGTTGTGACTTGAGTTCAAGCCTTGTACCGTAGGGACAATTTACACCCAAGCTGGTACTCTGTCCCGCTCTGTCCTATGCAAGATGAGGTCAAAAACGTGACTTTTCTGAAGACAAAGATATAGAGTATACTACTTATGGGCTAACCGAAATGAGAGGACAAAAATAGCGCGTAGAACCGAGTTACCGAGTAGAGCATATGCTATTCTTCCTCCTCCGTTCGCCGAAGTACACCATTTAAGTTGCAAGACTCACTGGAAAAATCCATATCCTTGCTACCGCTACAGGCACCCCTACTCTAAATGGAAAGGGACGATTTGGTATCCAGCGAATACGCGCTGACTGGTTCAAAGCTTGAGCAAGCACCAACTAAATGTGCCCCTCTGTCCAGCCCTCAAGGGCCCAACTTGGCTCTCCCCCTTCGCGGCGGGGAAGGGGAAATCCGATAAGGGCTTCCCACGGGTCAGGACCGGGGGGGTCCTTGTCTAGCCGAACTTCCGGTTAAACAGTGGGCGGGTGCGAGCTGTTGGCCGGAAGCAGCTGTGATGTGATGCCCTGCTGGAGAGAACATTATCCCATTCATTGTCCAACACTTTCGCCTCGTTTTGTTTCATCGGTGCACCCCACTGGGCAAGGCGCGTGCCGCCATCAAGTTTTCGCTTTCTTTCGCCGCCGAGGTCAAGTTCACTCGCGCTCTGGCCGGTGGTGATGCGCGGGGCCGCCCCACGACACGCCACGTGCTGACCGGCGCGGTGCATGACACGACCCCCAGCCGCTTGGCAGCCGGGCGGCGTTCTTTAAATGGACCACCGCGGCTCGGGCCATTCACTAAGATCAGGGAGCCCCCGAACCCCCACCTCCACCCCTCCCCCACCAACTCACAATGGATTACGTCGTCGTTAATTAGTCAGTTGGGCGATCAATTATTTTTCGCCATTTTGCGGATTCCGAGATGGAAACAAGGGAAAAGCTCAGAAAAGAGTCAATCAACTCCTACTGCAGTTATGAAAATTAATAAAATATAAACATGGTTGTATATTGTATATTGAAGTTCTTCGGGGTGTTGTTTGCCAGCGCGCTGCTACGCACTGCTCCTGTTCCAGACGCTGCTGTTCACGGTGACGGTGCTGCCGCTGCGCGTGGCGGCCATCGCCGTGCTGCTGGTGCTGGCCTGGCTGCTGGCCTGCGTCGGGCTGATCGGCCTCAGCGAGGAGGACCTCCGCACCAAGCCCATGACCGGCTGGAGGAAGTAAGCCCCCGCGCCGGCCTGTTCCCCCTGTTATGAAAGTTTTTCTACTGTCTCTGATTTTCAGTTGATACTGATTTTTTTTAAAGAGTTTTTGCTGTCGTTGATGACCATAATTGTTGTTACCGTACGGAAGTAAAGTTTTTGTGACATTCAAACAACGTTGCCGTTTCAATGCCGAAATCGATGCGACCCCGCGCGCGGCACCGATTTCGGCAAGCAACGGCACCGTCTCGATGCCACCGTCGACCGTCGCGTTCCGTTTCGCAGTGTTTTTGTCGGGGTGTTGTCGTGGCCGTGCGCGTCACGTGCGTGCGTGCGCTGCGGGCGGCGCTGCGCTGCGCGGTGCGGCGCGGTTAGTAGGTTGATGGTCGGGAGGGTCCCGGGCCCGGGGCCCGGGGCCACGACGACGACGACGCGGTGACGAGGCAGTACGGCCCGACAATGCCACCTGCGCCTCACAATGGTCCAGCAGCAGCGCCGGCAGCGCCCGAGGGGGGCCCGAGGCTGCTGCGCGCTAACGGGACGAGCCCGACAATCCCTTACCGCCCCCGGGCCTCGCGAGTCCATCAACGCGGACGGAAAGGAAAGCAAAGGCTCTCCCGCGTGATACTGTCCTTCGCTGCGTCCAGTGACCCTCGCGGCTGCCGGGGTTATGACAAATTACCGGGACGCATGTCGTCGGATCAACCCCTTCGCGACATTAAGTTTTCGCGTATACCGGCCGGCGAAAAAAGTAGAGTCTGGTTTTTCACTTCGGGTGGTGTGTGGGATGGTAAAACAGACAATGGCGCTCGTCCCGCCAGCGCCGCGCCGGCTAGAGGCGCTAGAGAGGAGGGAGAGAGAGGCCCAGCAGAGGCGCGGCAAGACCGCGAAGGGCTATTCCTGGCGTGGCAATGTGTGCGTGTGTGAGTGTGCCTTAAGGAGACTAGGTGAGCACACTGCACCCACAGGGGGCCATGACTCCCAAGGCAGCGTTAAAAAAAAGTTCGACCTGTCATACCCTCCCTACTATTGTACATAAATGTGTAAATACTACCGTCCGGATTAATTCTCGGACGGATCGGAGTTATTGATGGCGCATTTCTTCTTTGGGCTCTATTCATTTTTACTGAGTTACTACACCCACAAAAAATAGTTTCTTGATTCTAGTGCAAGCTGACACAAGATGAAATTCACCATTGAAACAAGGCAATTTTGTATTTGGAATGAGATTTTTCTCTCATTCGAAAGAAAATGTCAGCTTGTTTCAAGAGTAAAGAGTAAATTTGATCTTTGGTCAGCGTGCACCTGAAACAAGGAAAAATTTACTTGAAACAAGAAACGATTTTTCTGGGTGTACCAGACATTCATTTTCGTCACATCCTTCTTGCTTCACTCCAAAATTTTCAGGAAAAAAAGAGCATCGGAAAGGGGGTCTTCTATACTTTCTGCATGCGTCTAAGTCAGTGATTTTCGTCTTGCATTTATATAAAGCGAATTTCCAGACACGCTCTTCTTATGTTTTTTTTTTGTCCACATAAAAGTTGGGGGGCGGGGGGACCCTGTGAGTTGATGTTTTGTACATACACCGCTTGTCGGCCACGGCCAGGCGTGGCCGAGGCGTCAGCAATACTAACGTTTACGCGATTACGTGTCGAAAGCACCGCGTCGGGCGGGCGCGATATATTCCGCAGACGCAGCAATGCCCTCCTTGCTCATCGGAAGCAGGCCCTCTCCCTCTGACTCGCCGCGCCGATCGTGAGTGAGAGTCGAGTGAGCGTGTGTGTGTGTGGTTTGCAGAGACACCAAGAACGTTCTGTGCTTCTTGATGCGGGGCTTGTTCGCGGCCGGCGGCTTCCACCGGGTGCACATCAAGGGGCGCCAGGCCGCCCCCAAGGATGCGCCCGTGCTCGCCCTCGCCCCGCACTCGTCCTACTTCGACGCGCTGCCCGTCATCTGCCTGGGCGCCCCCAGCGTCGTCGCCAAGGGGGAGACCGGACACCTGCCCTTCTTCGGCAGTACGTCAACCAACACCATCCACACCCCGCCGCCGTCCTCGGCGCGCGTTACCATTCTCCATGTCGTTATCCTTGCTTGTAGCCTGAGCCGCTTTTACATGTTTGCTGTGTGAACAACAACCACCCCCCTTTGTGACTGCGTGTGTTTCTGCGTGTGCCTGTGCTGTTAGCTCGTGCTGTTGCTTCCATATCATGTACTACCTTGGACCGCGTCGCTTTCGTCGCAGACGGTGGGGCGTGTAGTGCTGTAGTGTAGTAGTGATGTAGTAGACTATAGTAGCATGTCTTGTACTTTGCCACGGTGCTTCACGGGGCATGAACTCGATTTCTCTCATTCATAGCCTTATATGGTCGTACTACGATTCAACTTTGCATGGAAGTTATTGATCTCCACGTTTTTCGGGATTATTCCCCCCCTCCTATGGCTTGACAGCAACGTACTTACATCACCCCGAAATGAGAAAACCGTCAAAATGTTTTTCTCGCATCGTTTTCTTTTGTTTTTGATTTTTTTTTTACCCTGGCATTGCCCTCCTGTGTAGTCGCCAGGGCCTTCGGGCGCCTGCAGGTTGGTGACCCAACGGCCTCTGACGGTGGCCGGGCTGCCGCGCCGGCCTGTGGGCTCGTCTGTGGGCCCGCGGGCCCGCCGGGGGCGTAGGCAACCCATCGTACGCGCCGCTAAAGGCACTTTGGCCGGCGCTGCTTCTCATGGTGCGCGTTGGCTGCCCTGCTAGGACGGTGCGGCGTTGGATCAGCGTGCTGGGCCGCTGGTCGTACGAGTGGGGCGGCATGTCCTTAGAGGTGAAGGGACGCCAGGCGGCGCGCGAGGAGGCCCCCGTCCTGGTGGCCGCGCCCCACTCCACGTTCCTGGACGCGGGCATCGTCTACCTCACCGGCTTCCCCAGCATCATCTGCCGACGGGAGAGTGGACGCAACGTCTGGCTGCGAAGTACGTCGCCCGAGACAAGAGAGACCATCAACCATTCCCTCAATCATTTTTATCCATGAAAAGAAAAAGAAAGGGAACGATGCGCATGAAAGTTAAATCAACCGACAGTGATCCAATATCAGTTTTATTACTTTACCTTTTTTCCAAGTTTCGCATAAGCTGTGTTTTTTCCAGTACGCGATTTCATTGCAGACTGAAACATCATTAGTATTGCGTAGTCGTTCCAGCTCAGGTAAAAGAGCCAAGCAATAGTTAGATCCTTGACGCGCTAGCTATCGGTTTTTACGGTATTTCTGGTTGCATTGTGTTTCTGTAGACATGCACTATATGCCCTCCGTCAGTACTTAACATTCGCCACGCACGAAACGTATGAATTAACTCTTGTTTTTGGTGTGGAATTTTGTGGTGTAGATTCTTTCTGTGTTCGTTTGGCCTTTTCTGAGGCGTTGTGCTCATATCTGTATGTAGATCATGACCAAGAAGCGATTGCACAAGCTGTCAGTGTTTTGGGTGGCAGAAATTGAACGTAGAGGAGGAAGGGCTTCCAAGCTGAACTATCCCCATACAGACCCTTAAACATTTTAAATTTCATAAT